ACCCATTGAGGCGCCTGACTGTACCATGATAAGCCTCGGTTCTCACCTGTTGAAGCGCCTGACTGTACCATCAAAAGGAGCTTGGATATAATGTTGGATACAATGTAATATTAAGCTACACCTGCGTGCAGCCTGTGTGATCTCATCCCTTAGAGGCTGCACGTCCATGTAACGTATCATGGTACAGTCAGGTGCCTCACTGGGTGAGAACCGAGGATCTTGGCCTTCCCACACTTCTGCTCTCAGCTGCTGTTTTGCTGTAGACACTGCACCTGGTTATTCAAATCTGCTTAAACAAGCACATTGGTTATTCATTCCCACACAATGAAAGTTCATAATGTTCTGATTGAGCGTACACAATGTTCTGATAACAAGAGGTTTAAAATGATAGATACGAAAAGAACATTGAGTACAGGCGTCCTCCATTTTATATGATAACCTATGTACAGTGATTCCAACAGTAAAACATGATGAAAGTTTATGAACAAAGTCTCTAGATGATGTTTTGTGATTGGTGGCTACTCCCGACGCATGGACCTTACTTCCCCCTGCTTCATTTCCCTTCTACCCACCTACACTGCTTTCTGATTGGGTCGGTGCTACAGGACACACACCTTCCTATGCAGATCCAAACCCAAAAGTGCTTAAAGTAACAATCAAACAGTGATATGGGGCAGCTGAAGTTAATGAGAGCAGCCTGCCTCTGTGTCGCTTGTATGTGCTAATATTAGATACTTGTTGCCCAAGATACCCATTACTATGCCTGTCCACAGCTCAGACTTCTAGATGTGCATTATACCCTGTTTTCACTGTAATGTGTTGCTTGATATGTATTCTAATGCACTGATCTAATTCTGGGACTATATTTTACTCAGAATGGTCAATGTTGATGCTTTTCTGAATAAGACAGATTACATGAGCTTTTAAGTCTTTTTAAAGAAAAATATGACTTGTGTATGCATCAACTAATTTCCATTTCTCTGTTTGTTTACAGCTGGTGGGGGTAATGTTTCTGTAATATTTCTCTATTTTACTGCAAACCTCCATCAAATTGAAATGTATTAACTGACTGCTTCTTTTTCTCCATCTAAGCAAACAGAGGGACAGCAGAGCACTAACGCTTGTCTTATTTTCTAACATTATTTCTGTGTGTTCCAGTAAAGCTCATCATTTAGGTTATTTGTATCTTTCGCCAGTTACTAAAAGTCTGTGATTTCATTTTTCAGCCCCTGTTTTCAGGTGAAATATGAGGTCCTTTAATCCAGAGAAGTTGTTTGTCTGTTGTTCCATCTGAGTGGAGTTTAAGTAAATCTAATGAGGCTGAGAGATTCTTATCTCAGTTAAACTCTGATATATTCCACCTTTTTTTCCTCTTTTTCAGGACTGAATGGATAATGATGTGAACATATCATATATCATTATTGGTGGGCATGTGGAGGTAGAAAAATACAGATTTCTTTATTTTGTGATCAGTCTTACTGTTTACCTTTTGATACTGTGCTGTAATTCGATCGTTGTGTATCTGATTTGGGCTCACCCAAACCTCCATGAGCCTATGTACATTTTTATTGCATGTTTGTTGCTGAACTCTGTTTTATGGAGCACTGTTATTTACCCAAAGCTTTTGATTGACTTTGTGTCCAAAAGACAGATCATATCATATTCAGCCTGTCTTTTGCAGTTTCACATGTTTTACTCTTTAGGAGGGTCAGAATTTTTACTGTTGGCAGCCATGGCCTACGACAGATATGTGTCTATATGCAAACCTCTGCAATACGCAACTATCATGAACAAAAGGACCATCAGTATTCTTTTGATTTGTTCCTGGATTCTGCCTGCCGCTCAGGTTGCTGTCCCAGCTGGATTGAGTGCTAATAAGAAAATCTGTAGCTTCATTGTAAAAGGAGTTTTTTGCAACAACACTATTTACAAATTGCAGTGTGTTGTCTCGAAAGCACAAATCATACATGATATGGTGATTTTGATCAATGTTGCACTTCTTCCTATGTTTTTCATACTTTTCACTTACAGCCGGATTCTCATAATAACTTATCGGAGTAGCAAGGAGGTGAAGAAAAAAGCAGCCCAGACATGTTTGCCCCACCTAATTGTTCTAATCAACTTTTCCTGTTTGTGTGCATTCGATGTCATCACCGTTCAGCTTGACTCAGATTTTCCAAAAACTCTGCGCTTAATAATGACATTACAATTGATCATGTATCATCCTCTCTTTAATCCTATAATGTATGGACTAAAAATGAAAGAAATTTCTAAGCACCTCAAGAGGCTTTTCTTTCCAGCCAAACAGATCTAACAGACCCACTGTATTATCACAGGACATCTTTAAGACATTTATTTTGTAAGAAGTACACTTAAAGTGTACTGAACCTATTTTCATTTTAAACTCAAAACAAATGTTTTATTAACTCGTGTTGTTACTCTTATTTTAAACTTTTGAAAATCTGTTTTGTCAAGCCCAACACAAAAAGCAAAAGCCAAAGATCCTCTGATGATATGTTTTTTTATTTAGAAAATCCAGGAACCCATTCCAGTTGTGCAGAGAAGTCAAAAACACTTGCTGTGTTTTTATTGTGATTATGTTGAACATTGTCCGGTTGTAAGGTTGCAGCACACAATAAAAATAAAAAAATAAAAATTGTGAAATGAGTGTTAAAAAAGTGTTTCTGGTTCAAATCCTAGTTAAGGCTACTCTACTTTCCTACTTAAGGCTGGCTTGCTCACACACTCTAAACTTAGGGTTTAAGCAAAAAGAGGCCTATCTGACTTATTCAGGAAGACTTTTCCAGATTTTAGGAGTCTTAAACTCAAGCGAAGCCTCACGTCGTTTTGTTCCGACTCTTTGAACCAGCAGGAAAACCAAGACCTGAGGTCCTCAGAGTCTGGGCTAGTTCAGAGATGGGCTTTGGTGCTCGATCATGAAGAGACTTTAAAGTCTGCTGAGACCTGAGCATTTTCCTGGTTCTGGTCATAACTCTGGCAGCAGCATTCTGGATGTTCTGCAGCTCTTTTAGAGCCCAGTGAGCAGAGCATTACAGTAGTATAACCTACTAAAGCAGGGATGTCAAAGTCAAACACACCGAGGGCCCAAAAAACTAATTTGCTACAAGCCGAGGGCCGTACTGGTTCAATGTTTATTAAAACATATCTAAACGAAAGCACATAGCCTATTGAACCAAGACCTAACACAGTGTATTCACACATATTCACAATGATTAAATGAATATGGCAATATTATGTTATGGCTCTGTCGGTAACTTTAAGGGAAAACATTTTCAACAGCCAAACAGCAAAAAATTAAATTGTTTTAAAAAAAAATGTGTTTCTTAATATCAAGATAAATGCATAAATAAAAGTGCATGCATTATAAACTTAAAATGTATTATTGTGCTGCTCTATGATCTACCGATCACTGATTTCAAATAGTAAAATTAAAAAAGTTATAATATTTTGCGACTTCTTTTGCCACAATAAAGCTAGCCTTAACAGCAGCCTCACTTTGTGATTTAGCATATGTGAACATAGCCTGCGGGCCGGTTCTAATAATAATTAAATATCATCCAGGGGGCCATAGATAATCAATTCGCGGGCCGGATCTGGCCCGCGGACCTTGATTTTGACATATGTGTATTAGAGACAAAAGCATGGATTCATATTTTTATGTCTGGTTTAGACACTCTTCCTTTGATTCGGGCAATGTTTTTGATGATGAAAAGCTGCTGATGTTATGGATTAAATGTGGCTGTTGAAGTTCAGCTCTGAGTCTAGTATTACCCCAAAACTTTTTACTTGATTTTTAGGTTTTAGGAGAGACTCTGAAGGTGACTGAGGACACTTTCTCTTTTTTTCTGAGGGCAATGACAGACAATGATTTCAGTTTTTCTGGGTTTACCTCGAGAAAGCTGTTCTGCATCCACAAGCTGACACATTAAATCTACAGGCCTGTGTTTTCCTGCTGTCAGCGATACATATATGTGAGTGGGATCTGCCTATTTTGGGTAGGACACATTATGACTGTGTATTAGTTGGCCTGAAGGAGGCATGTACAGATTGAACGAAAGGGGGCCCAGGATTGACACCTGGGGAACACCACAGGTAAGACCCATTCAGTCTGGGACATGGTTCTCAATTAAACACAGTATCACCTGTCTTCGAGGTACAACTTGGACCAAATTAAGATTGTACCAGAGATTTCCACCCAGTCCTCTGACCTCTGTAATACAATCACGTGGTCCATCAAACAAAGGCCGCGCTCAGGTCCGGCAGAACCAAGACCAAGGCTTTTCGTAAGAATGGCAAGTTTGATATGGGCCAGTAATTTATAAGTACTGAGCCATTAAGACTGCTCTTCTTTAGAAGAGTTTTTCATAAATTTTTCCATTTTTGAAGATTTTTTTGAAGAGGTTTAATGACAGCAGTTAATACTTATTTTTTATTTGCTGTTTTATGAGTAAAATCGTTTCAAAGTTGAAAAATAACAAGCATATTCCATCAGGTACTGATGTTTAATATCTCCCTTTGGACCCTATTAGTGGGCATGAGTGTGCTCGAAGTGAGATCAGACCATGGTTAAAGGTTCAGCAGCTGACAGAGTTGGTGTGAGATCAGGAGATGTTGATCTTTCCTAAGATCTCACTCTCCATAAACTGATGCGTGTAAAAACGCAGTTGGTTTTTTTACGCCTTTGATGCTTTGATAGAAAAGGGTATATCGTATTATCGTATTAACAGTTTACGGTGTTGTTACATGGGATTCCTCTGATACTCACTACTTTTTCTTAGAAGAGAGAACAGACCATTTAAAAGATGTGAATATTCTCCAGATTTTTTGATGAACTTCTGTCGAAGAATCTTGATATTTTTCTTGTTTCCTGTGAA